TAGGGGGAGGGGTAAACCCCTCCCCGAAGGGGAAGAAGGGGGGTTGAGGACAGAGCGGGCTCTCTAAACCACTCACGCCCAAAGGGCTGGTGGGATTTTTGAAAACCACCCGCCCTCCATCAGTAAAACTGTTGCCAGTTTCTCAGCTTCAGGCTCATACATGCCGAGGAAGTCTCAGGCGAACCCCCCGGCCCGCCCTTCTGACTGGCCGCGGGGTGCTACAAGGAGGAATTTATGAAATAGTACAAGGACTGGAGGAGGAGGGGGAGGAGGAGCCGTCTTCACTTCTAGAGGTTCCCGAGCTTTTTCTCCCGTTTTCTCGTTAGTTCTTGTGATGTTCTCCTTGTCTTCTTCATTCTTCTCTCTTCTCTCTCTCTCTCTCTCTCAGTCCATCCTTCTTTCTTTCCCTCCTCCTCTCCTCATCCGTCTTCCCCCCCCCCCCTTCCTCATCCGTCCTCCGTCCTCTCTCCCGTTCTCTTTCCCTTCTCCCCCCCAGCCAATGCAATGCAATGCGATGCGATTGCAATGCAGTGCAATGCGACAGCAATGCAATGCCTTTGCAATGCAATGCGATTCCAATGCAATTCGATTGCAATGCGATTGCCATGCAATGCGATTGCCAAGCAATGCGATTGCAATGCAATGCGATTGCAGTGCAATGCCAAGTAGAAGAAAGGGACTTGCACTCAAGTATCCGGGTGCCCGGCGGCGGCAGGGGCTTACACTAAAGTATCCCGGGGCACGGCGGAGACTTGAGGGAGGGAAGAGGGAGGAAGAGAAAAGGAGGAAGAAGGAAAATGAGGGGGAAAGATGTAGAAGAAGGGTGCGAGAGAGGGGAAAGTGGATGCTTTCATCGAAGCAATCATTTCAGCAGTACTTCTGATGATGTCTTGCGGTTCATCCCTCCCGCCTCTCCCCACATCCCTTTGCAATTTGAGTTCCCTTCTTCTTGGCTCCTTAGCCTCGATTGTGCTATTCTTGTTGCTGGCGATTGTACCCTCGACATAAAGTCCAAGACTGCCATGGGGAACCCGCCGTACGGGAGTAAGAAGTACTACGAGAAACTCCAGGCCCAAGCGGATTGCACAAAAAACAAACAACAAACAACCGAAGAACCAAGCAACAAACTCCACCACCCATCGTCTATCCACAGCAGGCGAACGAGGAGCGCTTGGCCACCAAGAGGGCGGTGAACTTCTTGAAAAAGCCCGAGATCAAGAAGGTGGTGCAGAAGGCTGCGCGGGCCGCCGTGGCGCCACTGAAAAAAGCTCTTGCCGAAGCTCGCAGCAAGGCAGAGCAAGCAACGACCCCGGGGGAAGGTAAAACCCACGACATACCCCCAGCCATTGCGTTACAAGCGACCCCGCTAAAACACAACACATAATTATTATTGCACCCCTGAACTCCCTTCCCCCCTCCCCCCCAGGAGGCGCAGCAACCGGCACTACAGGAACCTCTAAGGACAGACGACCAGGGCTGACCACTGGATGACGGAGTACAACAAGCTCTACTACAAGCACGGGGCCGCGTTCCTTTGAACATCTATTTACATAAAAGATTTTGAAGTAAATGTGAAAACCCGTGGTAACATGGCAATTCCACAACACGCCACGTTCAGGCTCACAAGAAGAGCTACGCCAAGACCAGCTGCGACCTTGGCTCCTCCTTGAAGAACCACGCGGAGCTCGCCAAAGAGCTCCGCGCGTGGAAGAAGTGGTGGGCTAAGCAGTGAGCGGGGCCCGCCCTTTGCTAACGCCTTGCACGAGAGAGGGCGTTCAAAAAATGAATGCCCTTGCACAAAATATTGCGAATAGTGCTGTGACCGCTTAAGGTTGGAATTGCAGAGGCGTTGTTGCTTGCAAGCTGTACGAGGGGTGCGTTTCGAGAGGCCATGCAGTGAGTGAAGAAAGAATCGCTCATCTCTCGCGTGTGTAGTATTCACTTACGTTCGCCATTGCAAACCGACGTCAAGCGGAATTGTGTTGGAGTTCTTTACAGAGAGCATTCTAGCGTAACGTTGAACGCAATAGTTTTTCAGTGTACCTTCTTACAGATAAGAGATCTTATTGTCATTCGCAACAGGGGCAACCCCATCGTGGCAACCAAGAAAAGTGGAGCTGCCGAGGAAGAAGAGAAAGGGGAAAAATAGCGAATAGAACCCTGTCCAAGTGCTCCACGCAAGAAATCCTAGTGTAATCCGCAACAGTAGGAATCCTTTGTAATCACCCACAAAAGGAATCCCATGGAATTCTCCACAAAAGGAATCCTATGGTAAGTCTCCACACAAGAAGCCTTATTGAATCCTCCACAAAGGGGAATCGATGGTAATCCTCCACAAAAAGGAATCTTATTGTAATCCTCCACAAATGGAATTCGATTGAATCCTCCACAAAAGGAATTCGAATGTAATCCTCCACAAAAGGGATCTTATTGTAACCCCCCACAAAAGGAATTTTAGTGTAATGCGCCACAAAGGGGAGCCTCTTGCGATCGTCCATAAAAGGAACATCCTATTGGAATCTCCAGAAAGGGAATCCTATTGTAATCTTCCATAAAGGGAATCCTATTGAATTCTGCACAAAAGGAATTTTACTGTAATCCTCCACAAAAGAAATTCTAGTGTAATCCTCCACAAAAGGAATCCTATTGTATTCCTCCACAAAAGGAGTCCTATGGAATCCTCCACAAAAAGGAATTCTATTGTAATCCGCCGCGAAAGGAATCCCATTGTAATGCGCCACAGAGGGGGTCCTTTTGTGGCGGCCAGGAAAAGTGGGGTGGGGGGGTGGGGGCGAAAAAAAAAACGTTTTTTTTTTTTTTTTTTTTTTTTTGTTTTTCTCTCCCTCTCTCTCCCGCCCCCGCCCGAAAACATTTTTTTTTTTTTTTTGTCTCTGCCCCCCCCCCACCTTTCCTGGCCGCCACAAAAGGATTTCCTTTGTGGCGCGTTCCAATAGGATTCCTTTTGGTGGAGGATTACAATAGGATTGCTTTTGTAGAGGATTTCAATAGGATTCCCTTTGTGGGCGCTTACAAAAGGATTTCTTCTGTGACGGATTACAGTCGGATTTTTTCTTCGCCCGCCCCCCCAAAAAAAATAGGGAGAGTGAGGGAGAGAGAGAGAGAGAGAGAGAGAAGGAGAGAGAGAGAGAGAGAGAGATAGCGAAGAGGAAATCGAGAGAAAGAGCTCGGGAACCTCTAGAAGTGAAGTCGCCGAGGAGGAGGAAAAATAGGAGAAGGAGGGAGAGGAGAGATCTTCGATCCTCCTCCTGCTGCCTTGCTGCCGCCCCGCCCCTCGGCGGCCCCTGACACAGGCGCCGTCCTGCTGCCAGAGCTGGTCGATGCGCTGCCGGCCGGGGTCCGCCGCGCCTTCGGGCTTCCCCTGCCAGCGGGCCGCCGCCGGTGGCACCTCTTGCCACCTTCCGCCGTCTGTCGTCCTCTTCGTCGGGGTCGGGAGGGAGGATCGGAGGAGCAATGGGTCATGAGAATGATACGTTCCGAGGCTTCCAGGATTTCCAAGACTGCCTGACGCTCCACAAAGGGGCTGCAGTAGCGAAGTCCGCGAAAAACTGCTTGGAAATCCTGAGAACGTAGCCTGAGCCAATTCCATGGTTGCATCATTCCCGTCCTAAAGGAGGGAGTTTTTGCTGCACGCATTGTTTGTGGGGTGGCGGCGTGGGTCACGAGTCAGAGTCCTGGGTGCCATCGTGACGGAGACAAAATTGGCTGGCCTGCCTGACACAGGCTGCAAAGGCAGCCTTCCTCGCCGTCTCTCGTCGTCTTCGTCGGGGTCGGGAGGGATGAGGAGGACCCAGGCATGGCCGCGTCGTGAACAGGGCGCGACAGAAGGGTTCTGGCCGTGTTCGGGCTCCAGGCTGGCCCTCGCCGGGCCCCAGGGCCGTCAGATAAGGGCCTGGGATGGGGAGCTGGTCCTGCATCAGCATCACCATCATCGTCATCATCATCATCATCATCATCATCATCATCATCATCATCACCATCATCGTCATCATCATCGTCATCATCATCATCGTCATCATCGTCATCACCATCATCATCATCATCATCGTCATCATCACCATCATCATCCTCATCATCAGCATCATCAGCATCATCATCATCTGCATCATCCTCATCCTCCTCCTCATCATCCTCATCATCATCATCATCATCTGCATCATCCTCATCCTCCTCCTCCTCATCATCATCCTCATCATCATCATCCTCATCCTCCTCCTCCTCCTCATCCTCATCATCATCATCATCATCATCATCATCAGCATTATCATCATCAGCATCCTCCTCCTCATCATCATCGTCATCATCATCATCGTCATCATCATCCTCCTCCTCCTCCTCCTCCTCCTCCTCCTCCTCCTCATCATCATCATCATCATCATCATCATCATCATCATCATCATCATCATCATCATCATCATCATCATCATCTACTCTATGTTTTCCTTCTTGTTTCCTCTTGAGGGCGCCGCCCCTGGGCGCCCAGGACAGCAGCGTGCCCCGTGCGGGTCCCGCGTGCCCGCGGCCCCCTGCCCTCCGTGGCCCTCCCCGGCCCGTGCCGGCGCCTGCCCGCAGGCGCGGCGGCGGCGGGGGGGGCGCAGGGCTCGCAGGCCCCGCCCGAAGGTCCGGCTGCGCCTGCGCCCAGCGCCCGGTCTTGTCCTGGCGTGCCTCTGGGCGAGGCCGGGTGCGCGGGGGGCGTGCGTCCTGGCGGGGGGGCTCGCGTCGGGAAGCGGGGCCGCGCCGAGGCAAGAGTGGTCCCGCCCCCCCGTCCTGGGGGAGGAGGGGATGCTCCCCAGGGCTTCCCCCTGCCCCCTCTGCTCTCGCTTCGTCTTTGCCCACGCCGTGCCTTCCCTTCCCCCGCCCTCCTTTTCCCCTCTCCTCCCCTCCCCAGCTTCATGGGACTTTCTCTTCGCGGGCCTGCATGACAAACATTTCGTATTGTTTTCTTTTTGGTCGCAATCGACCATGCGAACATGTCAGCGGCGAACATATCATTTTATTGCTTCAACTCCTCTCCGTGCCAACATGTCAGCGGCGTTGCTTGGCGTGATTATGCCAGCCACCCCTGCTTGGGTCAAGGTCGACCTCCACCGCAGCCATGTGCGCCTCTACCAGTTCGAGTCTTGCCCGTTCTGCCGCAAGGTGCCTTTTTCTTGTGTGTGGGGGTCTACTTCGTTACCTTGGAAGGGTTGTACGATGAGCAGGCAGAGGAAGATGACGCGGCGCTACAGTACATTGCCGTTCTTGTGTTGTGTGTGTGTGTGTGTGTGATCGAAGATGCCTACGGCGAACTCTGCTGCTGCCTGCCTCTTGGATTCGCTCTTCTGGCCATGCTATTGGCCTACGTTCTGCCCTAGCCGTTGTGAAGTCAATTTGGGGAGCACTTGGGGAGGCAGGAAGGGTGAGGAGGAGGAGGAGGAGGATGATGATGAGGAGGAGGAGTAGGAGGATGAGGATAACTTATGGCCATTGCTGGTGGGCTGATCTCCTCGCGAAGAAGGGGCACCTGACACAGGGAGGTTGTGATGTAGCACGGTACTTGGAGAGTCGTCTTCTGCTCAACCCACGCCCAGGGTGACGCTGCGGACGGGGTGTGGGATGCCCCTATCGCGCGACAGCCTTCGAGTGTAGGGGGTCTGGGGTCCCTCTCTCGCTCTCTGAAGACATGCCAGAAATCTCGCTTGCACGACCCGCTAGGGCAGAGGATTTTTGCAGTGCTGCGCTTCCCCTGGGACGCTTTGGGTTTTGCAGCGATCCGCTTGAACTGGGGATGATGTGAACAGCCGCGACATTCGGCAGCGGCCGCCAGGGCAGCAGAGGAGTCGGCTTTTATGTCGAGCGGGCAGACGCGAGACTTGGGGAGAACGAGGGCAGAGACTGGCAATAATCGTCGTCGCGGATGGGAGAAGGGGGGGAGAAAAGATAGGCACTTCATGTTCGCGGTTTTGTCTCCACGATGGGTGGGGAAGCCGACTTCATCCTGCCTTCCAGGGCCGAGTTTCACGTTCCATCGTTCTCCTTTTCCTCAGAGCCATCAGTGCAATCTATCCTCTCTGGTGCGGTGCATCCTCCCTGCTGGGGCCAATATTCTGACAGGTAGTCAGGGGATGGGCTGGCAACCCTGAGAATCAGTCCAGCGGCTTGCCCCGTGACCCACGGATCGGGGGGTCCCCTGACCGATTTTGCTGCCTGCCGAACGCCCGCCAGAGGGACGTGCACGATATTTGGCGCAGCGACTCACAGCATGGGGGGGGGACGTGCTCTGGGGACCTGAACTGTTTTGCTACACCTACTTCGGATCGGAGGGATTCAGAGTAGGTGGAGGCAGAACTGAGGCAGACACCCTCCATAACTCCCTCTTCCTTACCATCTGCCCTCCCCTCTACAATACGTCTTATGAGTGCGACTCTCCTCTCTCCCCTGACACCGTCCAGAAGATCTTCGGCCCTCTCCGCGTATTGCCTTTTACGCGCAGAGTTCCAAGCGTTGTTATTTCCTAAGTATTCTGTAACATCCACTGCGTTTGGTGTTTTAAAATGGTGCTCCTGCTGCAGCGTGGGCCTCATTTTCGGATCGGCGCCGTCTTTCAGAGCGGCGCGCTCGTCCCAGCGCGGGCCATTCTTGTGGATCCGAATATTGTGCATCTTTGTCGTCGCCCTCATTTCCCCTCCTTCACCTTCCCTCAGTCCTCCTGCTCCTCCCGCTCCTTCCACTCCAGCTCCTGCTGCTGCTGCTGCTGTTCGTCCTCGTCCTCATCCTTTCTCATTATCCTGTTTTTCCTCCTGCTCATCGGCCACCTCCTCCTCCAATGTACGCAGCTCCATTTTTCTTCCGATTGCGCACAGCATGATTGGGGTCCTGTTTGGAGTTCCCGGTCGGGTATGACACGCTTCCGCGGACAGAGGAGAATCAGCGCAATGGGAAGGGATGGGAGGCAGAGGCAGGATGTCAGATATGGCGGGCACCCGCCAGCGACGACCGTCGTCGTCGTCGTCGTCGCCGCCGCCGCCGCCGCCGCCGCCGCCGCGGTCGTCATCGTCGTCGTCGTCGTCGTCGTCGTCGTCGTCGTCGTCGTCGTCGTCCAGCGGCCGGCCGTATCCGCGAGCGCACCTAGCTTGCCTCTCTCCCCTCTCCTCCTCTCGCCCGGCGCGCGCGCGCGCGCCCCTTCCGTGGGCAGGTGCGGGCATGCCTCGACTACCACAGGCTCTTCTTGGGTCTTTGGGGGTAGCGTTGTTGCTCCCTGCGTCGTCGTCGTGGTCGTCGTGGTCGTCGTCGTCGTCCCGGTCGTCGTGGTCGTCGTGGTCGTGGTCGTGGTCGTGGTGGTCGTGGTAGTCGTGGTAGTCGTCGTCGTCGTCGTCGTCGTCGTCATTTTCGTTATCGTTGTCGCCATCGTTATTGTTATGGTTGTTATCGTCATCGTTGCTGTTTTCGTTTCCGCAATGTTTATCGTTATCATGTTCGTTTTCGTTAGCGTTTTCGTTATCGTTATCCGTGTCGTTATCCTTGTCATTATCGTTATCGTCGTTGTCGTCATCGTCGTCGTCGCCCTGTGGAGGAACTTGCCCGAAGAGGCCTTGTTCAGGGGCCCCCTCCTGCATCCCTCCTCGCTCCTTCCCTCCCTCCTCGCTCCTTTCTCCCTCACCCCTCCCCCTCCCGCGCTGCCTCCCCCCTCCCCCCTTCGCCCCTACTCCTTCTCCTCCTCCTCCTCCTCCTCCTTCTCCTCCTCCCCCTCCTCCTCCCCCTCCTCCTCCTTCTCCCCCTCCTCCTCCTCCTCCTCCTCCTCCCTTTCCCCTCCCCTCCGCTCGCTCTCCCTGCTCCCCATCACTTGTCCCAGCGCGCGATGCTCCTCCCCTCCTCCTCCTCCTCCTCCTCCTTCTCCTCCTCTCCTCTGCTCTCCTCCTCGTCCTCCTCCTCCTCCACCACCTCCTTCCGCTGCTCGTCCTCCTCGCGCTCCTCTCCCTAGTCTCCCCTCCCAGCGCGCCCCTCGTCAGCCTTCCTCCAGGGATCGACCTACACAGCGTTTTTCGTTAACGGTTTGTCTTCGCTTCCCCTCGAAACTGTCGTCCATCCGCCCGTGCTGCAACACGACACCGAGGCCAAACTGGCTCACGAAACCGCCAGAACGCCGTTCAGGTCTACCCCTGCCTTCCTCCTCCCTCTCCCCCCTCATCTTTTGCCCTGCTGCCGTTCCCCTCCCCTCGCCCCTCTCCCCTCTCCCCCCTCCCTCTCCCCTCTCTCCCCCCCCTCCCCTCCCTCTCCCTCCCTCTCCCTCCCTCTCCCCCCTCTACAATTACTCAATATGAATACTACTCTCCCTCTTCCCCCGATGACGGCCTGAAAGTGTCCGACCCCCCCCGCGTACTGTTTTTTTAGACAGGTTTCCCCGGAGTTGGGTTTTCGCCTGCATTTTTTTTTTTTTTTTTTTTTAATGCTGCTCTCGCTGAGGCGCCGGCCTCATTTTCGGGTCCCGCTCGTTCCGAATCGTGCTCCCGCTGCAGCGCTGGCCTCATTTCCGTGCTTCCGCTCGTTCCGAATCGTGCTCCCGCTGCAGCGCTGGTCTCATTTCCGCGCTTCCGCTCGTTTCGACTCGTGCTCCCGCTGCAGCGCTGGCGTCATTTCCCGTGCCATGCCACGGCATGCAATGCAATGCTAGGTTGATGCTACGCTTTGCGGTGCTCTTCTACGCCATGCCATGCCGTGCTCTACAATGCATCGCGTACCCTTTCGGGATCATTGCCCTGCTCGACATCCGACTGTGCGAGTAGAGAGGGGATCTGCGCCATGGTAAGGGATGGGAGGGAGGGGTAGGATGTCAGATATGACGCGAGCGCACCTAGCTTGTCCCTCCTCCTCCTCCTCCTCCTCCTCCTCCCCCTCCTCCTCCTCCTCCTCCTCCTCCTCCTCCTCCTCCTCCTCCTCCTCCTCCTCCTCCTCCTCTCTCCCCCCTTCTCCTTCCTCTTCCTCTCCCCCCCTCCCCTCTGCCGTTCCCGACTCGCAGCCCCTCGCACCCTGGGCGCACGAGACGCCCGGGCCGCAGGGTGCCCTACGAGATCGTCGAGGTGCATCCCCTGAGCAAGGCGCGCCGCCGCCGGCGTCTCTCCCCGGCTCTGCTTCTGGGAAGGGCTGTCGGGAGCCTTGAGATCGGGGGCGGCATAGAGGGGGGTGATGACTAGGGGGGGGGGGATATCATGGCGGGGGCCATGATGGTTCCCCAGGTTTCATGGCGCCTCTTCTTATTTCATTACGTCCCTGGCCCCCCCCGCTGGGCCGCGCACATGCCGCCAGTCATGACTTGCACCCCCCCTCTTGGACACCCCCCTCTTGGCCGCTCCCGATGAGACGGGGGTCAATGCAAACGGGGGTCAGCCAGAGCGCCCGATCTTGCAGGGTTCTGCATGGCCGGGGTCGCGCTGACCTGGGTTTGGGTGCAGGATCCTGCAGGATCTTGCAGGATCCTTCGCATTGACCCGGGTTTGGGCGCAGGATCTCGCAGGCTTTTGCAGGATTCTGCAAGTCCTGACCGGGTTGTGGATTGACCCGGATCAGAAGATCCCCGACGTTGCAGGAAGTTTTCTCGTCGGTTCTCTTCTGTTTCTTCCAGCTTCGGGGTGCTCTCCTTTCCTCCTCCCTCTTTCCCCGCCCCTCCTTTTCCCAGTGGCCCGTATCCGTTTTGGCTTAAGAGCACATGCTCCCGTGTGATCGAACGTGGATACCGCTAGTCCGCGGAAGTGTCAGAGCGTTTGCGCTGGACATCCTTCAGCCGCGACTGCACGGACTCCTGGCAGCCCTTCCGTTGTGGCAAGCACGTCTTCATGGCCCCAGCTTCGCGGCACAAGGATGCTAAGGAAGATAGGATGTGCAAGTTTTGCACCCTTCGCCGCACTGACGCTGCTCTCATTAACGATGGGTCGAATGACAAGTGCTACCAGTACCACATCCACAGCAGTGCGTGATTGTGCCCCCCCGACCTGCCAAGCCGCCAGAATAAGGCTTGGCGACCAGACCAGCCCACCTGGGCCTTGTCCAATTTGGAGAAGCGTCTGCAGGAGCTCGACGCCGATAATCCTCGTCTGCGCGAGCCTCAAGGGGACGGGAATGCACAGCGAGAAGCTAACGAATCATATGAGCTTCGTGAGGAGGTTGACGGCCTGATCAAGCATGTGCAGTTGAGGGAAACCATCATGCTTGAGTGGGCCAAGAAACCGTTGATCCTGGCGCCCGAGCAGCTAGAGGCGCCTCGCAAGAAGTTGTACGACAACACACCTCTCTTGGCGAAGCTCACGGGCTTATCGAGGAGGGCTGACCAAGCCCGCGCCCGTTTTCAGAAGGCGGAGTCAGACCAAGCAGCAGCTACCCAGACGCTCGAGACGGCAGAGGGTGCCCTGGCGGTGGCCAACTCAGCTGTTGAGGACCGCAAGAAGACAGCCGAGGAGCTTGATGATGAGCTCTGAGGCCTGTCGTCCCAACTGGTACCAGCCAAGCCAGGGATGCAGGTTCATCTCACGCCGTCCGACATCGAGGTGAATGAGCAGACATTGACACTCTGTCTGGACTCCATGGAGGGAGTGGCAGATGCCAAGAAGTTGGCGCCCTTGCTGGCTTTGGCCATCAAGTCGAGTGCGCTGGAGATTCCACACGAAGTACTTCCCGACAAGAGGGCCAGGGTCGGCGACGGCGGCCCGCATCTCAGCCCCAGCGCCCTGCACAGCCAGAGTAGGCTTCTCTCCCGGTGGTGGACAACACCCCCGCCCTGACACGCCGATTTGTGAATTGTCCGCTGTCGGTTCTCGAGGGGGCGCCGCGGCCGTCATTTTCCAGGCTTGCGCCCGCCAGGTTTGGGCCCGAGGTCGTTTTCCCTAGGCCACGTTTTGATAGAGGGGGCTCTGTCCATCCCCGACTCCTCCCCCTCCCCGCGGAGTCGGGGCCCGGCCGCGGGGGGGGGGTGCGAGGCCGAGACCAAGGACATAGCGCCGGACTACAAGAAGGTGCCAGTCCTGGGCGTGGAGGCCGCGGACGGCCGCAGGTTCCGCGGGTGAGAGGGGAGGGGGGAAGGAGGCAGGAGGCAGGAGGAGGGAGGAGGGAGGAGGCAGGAGGGAGGAGGGAGGAGGGAGGAGGGAGGGAGGAGGCCTTCCTTGAACCCTGGGGGCCACAGTTTGCTGAAGAGTTGCGAGGTCGAGGACGGACTGGCCTCTCTCCCTGCTGCTGCTTGCTGGCCCTTCTGGATGACTTTGGACTTTTCATCCACAATCCGCCTCCAGGAGGACGCTCCCCACCTAATCTTAGTGCATGGTGGCGCCATTCGCTACAACGGTGCCCCCGTTTGGTGAGCTCCTCCGCCAGCGTAGTTGCGCTGCCTAGCCGCCGACGCAACAAAATGTGTGTGTGTGTGTGTGTGTGTGTGTGTGTGTGTGTGTGCGTGTGCCCGCCGCCCTCCGCGCGTCGCCCGGAGTCGGGCGAGGTCGGACCTCGCCCGCCCGCTTCGGTCGGCGGGCGCTCCGCGGAGAGCTCCGACCACGGGGCGCCCACCGCCTGGCGATGATGCGGCAGTCGCTGCGGGGAGAGGGGGGTGGAAGGGACGGGGGGGAGCGAGGGTGGGGGGAGGGGGGAGGAGGGGGTACAGAGGAGGGGGATGAAGTGGAGGCTGCGGCTGCACACCCCTTCCTCTTGCTCCTCCAGCTTGGCAGGAGACGCTGCGACACAACAGTCGCCCATCCACGCGCTAGAAGGGCACAGGCAGCGACGAACGGGCAGAACACAGAGCAAATGAGACATACGAGGGAGGGGGAGCAGACAGAGTAGGCAACTCATCTCCCTGCAGTGGAGGAATCGCAGAGATGGATTACGGTGCGTGGATGGGAGGCAGGTTCCGTCTCGAGGCGGAATCGGCGCGTTCCGTCGCCAAATCGGGCTGCATCGGCTTCGTGTTTCGGGGGTGCCCTCTTCCTCGATCCCAGCGCGCCAGATCCATGGATCCTCACTCCATGTTGGCGCGTGCCCGACATGGCATGGCTACACCTGCCTGCGCCTCCTCCTCCTCTTCCCCCTCAGCCTCCTCCTCCTTCTCCTCCTCGTCCTCCTCCTCCCCCTCCTCCTCCTCCTCCTCCTCCTCCTCCTCCTCCCCCTCAGCCTCCTCCTCCTCCTCCTCCTCCTCCTCTCCCTCAGCCTCCTCCTCCTCCTCCTCAGTCTCCTCCTCCTCATCCTCCTCCTGCTCCGCTTGCGCGGGAGGTTCCAGCTGCGGGACTCCAAGTCCATCGTGCGGGCCATCCTCGGCGGCAGTAACCCAGGCGTCCGCGCGCGCGCGGGGGGGCGGGGTCTGCCCCGCGACGGGAGAGGGAGAAGCATGAGGGGGCAGGAGGAGGAGGAGGAGGAGAAGGAGGAGGAGGAGGAGAGGCAGGAGGAGGGTCATGATGATGACGATGATGATGTTGACGATGATGATGATGACGATGATGATGCTGCTGATGATGATGATGATTCTGTTGTTGATGATGATGACGATCATGACGATGCTGATGATGATGATGATGAGATGATGAGGATGATGATTATGATGATGCTGATGATGATGATGATGACGATGCTGCTGCTGCTGATAATGATGATGATGATTATGTTGTTGAATGTGAATATGTTGTGCTGATGATGATGGCGACGATCATGATGATGCTGATGATGATGAGATGATGAAGATGATGATGAGCATCTTGGTGCTGATGAAGGTTATGATGATGAGGATGATGAGGATGATGATGAGGAGGAAGATAAGGATGAGGATGAGCATGATGATGACGATGACGATGATAATGACGATGATGATGATGATGATGATGATGATGATGATGATGATGATGATGATGATGATGGTGCTGCTGATGATGATGCTGTGGCTGCTGCTGATGATGGTGGTGGTGGTGATGATGAGTTTTTACCAACGCTCCTGCCGTGTTTTTGCATCGTTTACGCTGACCATACCTTTCGCATGGTTGGCATCCATTGACAGACATACTTTACGTTGCCGTCTGTTGCGTACAGGTTTAAGATCACGCGCACCGCCGGCCTCCTTCCCTCAGCCGGCTTGTGTAAGAATACGTATGTTTGTACCTACTTCGCTTAACTGGCATACCTCAAGACATGGTGGGAAAGCGTACCTCCCCGAGTTCTTCGACATTGCATACGAGACCGATACTCGATACCATGAAGGAGTATCCAGGAGATAATCCAGAGCATTTGCCGATCAAGAGCATCTTTACCAGGACATAACTAGACTCATTGCTTGATGATGATGATGATGATGATGATGATGATGATGATGATAATAACAGTGGTGACTATGATTATGATGATGATGATCATGATGATGATGATGACGGTGTTGACGATGATGGTGCTGACGATGACGGTTACTATAATGCTGTTCATTGTGATGTCGATGATGCTGCTTATTACGGTGCTCATGTTGTTGCTGATGCCATGCTGCTGATGATGGTGATGACGATAACGTTGGCGATGACGATGAGGATGGCCATGATGACGATTCTCCGGATAAAGATGATATAGTAATTTGATGAGACGATGATGATGGTGGTCATGTTTGTGATGGTGAAGGTGATGGTGGTCATAATGATTTGGTTGAATGGTGATTATGATGATGGTGATGATGTTTGTGATGGTGATGATGCTGTTGCAGGTGGCGGTGATTGTATGGTTGGTGGTTCTGATGAGGACGAGTGTGCTTTTGATGATGATGGTGGCGATGATGATGGTGGTGTTGCCCATGAAGATGATACTGTCGATGCTGCTGATGATGGTGATCATGATGACGACTGATGATGATGCTGATGATGATGATGATAAGACCGAAGGTGTTGACGATGCTGGCTGTGACGATAACGGTGACCATGATGCTGGCGATCGTGATGGTGATGATAGTGCTTATGCTGCTGTTCATGTTGTGGCTGATGCTATGTTTCTGATGATGACGATGACGGTGTCGATGAGTATGGCGATGGTGGTAATGACTGATGGTTGATGGTGATGATGGTGATGATGATGAGGACTATTATGATGATGGTGGTAGTGATGATGATGATGATGATGATGTTGATGATGAAGATGACGGTTATGGTTATGGTTGTGACGATGGTGATGATGACGATGCTGATGCTGATGATGATGATGCTGATGCTGATGCTGAATATGATGATGCTGCTATTGGTGATGATGCTGATTCTGATTCTGATTCTGATGATGATGATGATGCTGATGCTGATGATGATGAGGATGAGGATGAGGATGATGATGATGACGATGATGATGATGATGACGATGCTGATGAGGATGAGGATGAGGATGAGGGTGAGGATGAGGATGAGGATGATGATGATGATGAGGATGAGGATGATGATGGATGATGGTGATGATGATGATGATGATGATGACGATGACGATGATGATGATGATGATGATGATGAT